AAAGGGCTCCAAGCCTGTCTCTTATCTCCCTTCGGGTGACCATTGCCCAGTGACTCAGAAGTTCTTTGTGTATGGCTTAGCTCCTACCTGGTTTATAAGGGGCTGCCAGTCAAGGAGTGGGGATGCAGTGCCCTCAGGGAGACCAGAGAGGAGAGGACCAGCGACTTCCCCTCTCTCTGCCAGAGCCCACCGGCGGTTTTGTGAGCTGCTTCCACGGGAGAAACAGAGTGTGGAGGACTCCCTGCGGGAACGTGTGTCCTTCGAGGATATTCTCAGTCTTCCAGAGCTCAAGGTGCAAGCCCTGCACCCTCTTCGTGCACCTTGCTTTGCTAGATCCCTGTCTTCCTGCCACTCAACATAGATCATGGGGTACCTGGTTCTCATTCTGATCTCTGTTCCTTCTTTTTCTCTTTCCTTCTTTCCTCTGTTCCTTCCTTTTCTCTTTCCTCTTTCCTTCTTTCCTCTGTTCCTTCCTTTTCTCTTTTCCTTCTTTCCTTTCTTCTTTCTGGGCTACAGTGAGTTCAAGGCCAGCCACAAAGATACAATGAGACCCTGTCTCAAAAATAAACAAATAGGCTGGGCATGGTGGTGCACACCTGTGATCCCAGTGCTCAGGAGGCTGAGGCAGGAAGATTGCCAAAAGTCTGAGGCCAGTGTGGGCCGAATAGTGAGTTCAAGTCTAGCCTGAACTAGTAAGACCCTGTGTCAGAAAACAAAACAAAAATAGGGCCAGGGATGTAGCTTGGTGGCACAAGCACCTGCCTGGCAAGCACGAGGTTCTGAGTTCAGTTCCCACTACTGGAAAAAGAAAAAAAGGCTGGGGGAATAGCTCAGCAGCACAGTTCCTGCCTGGCAAGTGCGTGGTCCTGAGTTCAATTCCTGGCCATATATATAATTTTCAGCCCATCTTGTCCTCTTGCTTTGGCTGCCTTTCCCAAGGTTTATGTCTTTGAGCTGGGCTTCAGGAAGCCATCCCGCCTCTTCTCCAGCCGTTAGTTGGCTCCTGTGCCCCTGGCCTCCTGTGCTGGTACAGAGTGCCCATGGCCTGAGCTCCCGGTGCTGGCACTGTGACCTTTTCCTCCACTTTCCAATGGGGGTGTGGTGCGTGTGTGACCCAGGTTGTGTCTGTGGCATTGACAAAAGACTCGTTCCCAGGCCAACCCCTTCAAGGAGCGAATCTGCAAGGTCTTCTCCACATCCCCTGCCAGAGACAGTCTGAGCTTTGAGGACTTCCTGGACCTCCTGAGTGTGTTCAGTGACACGGCAACCCCAGACATCAAGTCCCACTATGCCTTCCGCATCTTCGGTAAGGGCCTGATTGCATGCCACATCTGCACAGCCTTCGCAGTGGCCCTGCTTGGGAAATGGGAGCCTCTGGTGCAGCTGCAGAACTCTTTCTGACTGCAGTTTCTTCTTGGTTTCCTGTGTGTGCTTGCTAGATTTTGATGATGATGGAACTCTGGACAGAGAAGACCTGTGTCGGCTTGTGAACTGTCTCACGGGTGAGGGCGAGGACACTCAGCTCAGCGCTTCGGAGATGAAGCAGCTCATTGACAATGTGAGTGGTGGCCTGGCCAGGCCTGGACATGGGAGGGAAGGGCTGGGGCTCTGGCCTAAAGCTCTCTGGTTCCCAGATCCTGGAAGAGTCCGACATTGACAGGGACGGGACCATCAACCTCTCCGAGTTCCAGCATGTCATCTCACGTTCACCAGATTTTGTCAGGTATGATGGTGGTCCCCCTGCCTTCCAGGTACTCAAGGTCATCTGCTGCATCTGGATCTGGGATGCTATTATGGGAAGTGGTACTGAGGCGAGAGAGAGCTCTAGGTCCCTCTGAATGTTCCTTGTCATTCTTCCAGCGGGGAGGGCACCAACATATCCATACATAGCCCATTCCAAAGAAAGGTTTAAAGGAGAGGCGAAAAATTTCGGTTTAATTCCTACTTTGCTATTCCATCAGAAAACCTAACTTAGGCTGAGGCTTGGGGCTTAGTGGCAAAGTATGTGCTTAGCGTGGGTGAGGCCCTGGGTTCCATCACCAGCACCAAAAAACACAGACAAAAGTCAAAGAAGGAAAAGGTGCTGGGCGTGGTGACGCACACCTGTAATCCCAGCACTCGGGAGGCTGAGGCAGGTGGATTGCTGTGAGTTTGAGGCCAGCCTGGGCTACAAAGTGAGCTCAAGGCCAGCCTGAAACCCTGTTTTAAGAAAAAAAAAAAAAGGAAAAGGGAAAAGAAAATCAAACCAACTCTTTTCTTGTGCAGCTCCTTTAAGATTGTCCTGTGACTGCAGCCCCGGTGTATATCTTGGCATACCCTGTCCAAGACCTTCCCACTGCTGAGCTGTGGCCAAGGTCATGCCCACGTCGTTGGGGCCGGCCAAGCTGGCCCAGCCTGGAGCTGGCACTGCAGTCGGCCGGGGCAGGCAGGGCCCTCCCCGCTCCTCACTGCTACTGTCATCGCCGTTTCTACTGATCAGTAATAAAGGTTTTAGAAGTTTTGATCCTTGCATGTGACACTAGAAACACTGTTGGGAAAGACTGGGCTTCTAAAAACCTTTGATCAGTAGGAGTAAGTCCCATCTAAAGAAGGGGCCAACAGGAAATCAAGCTGTACTTTCCAACCCTACCCACCCGACGGCGGAGTTCTCCCTCTTCCTGATTATGGTGGTGGTTATGTGGATTTCTACAGGTTTTGTGTTTTTCTTTTTTTGAGATGAGAGTCTATGCCTGGAATGATCTGCAACTCCTGGGCCCAACTGTTCCCTGCACCTCAGCCTCCTGAGTACCTGGGACTGCAGGCACCTGGCATCCTGTCCAGCAATGTGTTAAAATTTAAAGGTGGGGGCCGGGGATGTAGCTCAGCGGAACAGTGCCTGCCTGGCAATCTCGAGGCCCTGAGTTTAATTTCTGGCACCAAAAAAAAAAAAAAAAAATTTAAAGGTGGCACACTAAGAAAAGAAAGCCAGTGTTGCCAAATGATCACTTGAAAAATTTAAAACTGCAGAGTTCAAAAAAAGAGGTTCCTGCCAGGTATGGTGGTACACACCCCTGTAGTCCCAGCACTCAAGAGGCTGAGCCAGGATTGCCTTGAATTTGAGGCCAGCTTGAACTACATAGTAAGACCCTGCGCAAGTGAATGGTTGCCTAGCATGCATGAGGCCCTGGGTTCAATCCCCCGATAAAGCAAGGAAATAGAATAAAGGGGTTGAGGTGAATGGAGTTAACCTGCCCCAGGAACTGTGGTCCACTGGACAATGTCAACCACTGGCCCACCTGCTTCTGGCTCCCTGGGGCCTAGAGAGAGGAGGTTCAGGGGACCCTCTGATCAGTCTCAAAGAGTACAAGTCCTTGAAGAGGAAGGATGATGATTAAACAATTCTTCAGACTTTCTTTTAAAAAAGAAAAAGTAAAGTGCATTTTATTAAAAAAAAATACAAAACCCACAGGTGTTCGGGACCCTGTGCTGGGCAGTGTAAATATCCCTTGAAGTGGAGACAAGTGAGGCGGGGAACAGGGCTGGGGAGAAGCCAGGCTCCACTGAGTTCCCTGTGCTCGAGTCTGAAGAGGGGCTGACGTGCTACAAAGGACACACAGTTCTCAGGCTGGAATGAAGGAAGGCAATCAGCAGTCTCTTCCTGAGGGCCAAGGGCCACGTGGTCACAAACTCCTGGGCTCACACTCCTCCCTTGTGGCCACAGCCTGATACAGGCTGGAAAGGTCCGCAAGCGGGATCTGAGCCCAGGTCCTGGGGAGGGCTGCAGAGCCAGCCAGCCCTCTGGTCCCTGAGGTGCAGCTGATAGCAACGAGCTACATCCTGGCCAGCTGGCATGAACTGGCCACCGGCTCTGGTGAGAAGGAGCAGCGGGGCGGGAGGCTAAGGCAAAGGTAGAAGAGGCCAGTTGGCGCAGGGTTTTCATCTGTCCTGCACCACTTGGGATGTGTCCCCAGCAGTGCTGGGAGGCGAAGGGGAACTGGTGGTGGTGTGTGTGTGAGGCATCTCCACTGTCTCTTCCCGCACCCTCTGGTTTCACATTTTCAGCTGTTTTATAAACAAAGGGCTCAGTTTATGTAAGGAGCACTGTCCTGCCCAACCAGGCAGCTGCCCGGCCCTGGAGGATAGACCCCCTCTTCATAGAGGACCGTCGGGACACCAAGCTGGGTGGCAGGGGCCTTGCGCGTGGCTGCAGAACAGCAGGCTGAGCGGCCCCCAGGCTCCCAAGGGCAGGCACCCCCGCCGTATGTGAGGTGCAAGTCCAGCTGACGCTGTCCGAGCAGTCACAGCTCTGAAGCCAGGGTGGCCTTGTCACACCACAGAGTCACGGATCTCAGAGCCCAGGCGGACTCGGGGCCGGGGGCACACGGGAGACACCTCGACAAAGCTGTCCTGGATGCTGAGTGGCCTCTTCTCAGACTCCGTGAAGAGCCGGGGCCCTGGGGAGCTATCTGACAGAGCCTGGTAGCCTCGGTGGTCCAGCGGGGTGCTAGGGGGGCCGACGCCGTTCAGCGGTCGGGTCTCAGGTGGCAGCACCACAGGGCGAGTCTTGGGGTGCACAGTGGCACACTCCCCCTGCTTCAGGAAGACCTTCATGTTGTCCCGGTGCCGGTAGAGGAAGAACAGGAACAGAAGCACCACGGCGAGCCCGAAGAGTGTGCACATCACCAGGAACTCGTTCCAGTAGGACCTGTCCACACCCCAGCTGGACCTGCCGGCAGCTGGCGCGCTCACCCGTGATGTGTTGATGATGACAGGGACGCTGCCACCCCGGTCTGTTCGGTGTGCCAGCCCATCCTCCACCACTTCCGGGCAGTAGCTGGCCACGAGCTGCTGGAAACCCTCCTCCTGGGACCAGCACTCGAAGACCCCCAGCCTCTCCTGGCTGCCCACCAGCAGCAGGTCCCCAGTGGGCAACACCTGGTAGGAGGACGAGGCATTGAGAGGGGCCTTGTCATGCAGCCAGTGCCGGGTGGCCAGGTTGGACAGAAGCGGGCAGGCCAAGGTGTTCACCGTGTTGGGCCGGAACTGGACGTGCTCACACGGCTTCCGGCCTGCGGGGAGAGGAGGCATTGGGTGGAAGGTGCCGCGGTCTACAGTGGCCACAGGCTCACCCCTCCACCCCAGCTGTGATGGGCACTCTGGGGACTCTGAGGGCTGTCTCAAGCTCACTTTGGGAACCCTGCTCACAGAGCTGGAGGGAGGACGATGAGGAAGGGGATCTGTCCCGCCAGTGCCTGGAGGAATCACCCCAGTAGATCCTCCCCCCGCCTCTCCCCACAGCCTTCAAGGGTTCCCTCACCTGCTGTTATAGAGGACCGAGGCTTGGCCCAGGACATGTTGCAGAGCTCCTTAGCATTGCCCCCTTCAACGTCCTGGATCCACGGCCTGAGAACCAGAGAGGGTCTGGGGTCAGCCAGGAAACCCTGAGCCCACAGACACAGACTCGGACCTGGGGAGGGGACCAGAGCCCAGGACACACCAGGCCCCAAGCACCAGGTCAGAAGGAGACTCGTGTGCTGATTCCCCAGCCCAATGGATCTCTGAGCATCTCCTGTGTGCACTGACTGCAAATCAAAGCAGGGAAGGCCATTCCCTTGAATGACAAAAGCAGAATGTGCCTCTCACGGCTTGCACAGACTTTCTGAATATGCATGTAAATATCCAAGTAATACACAAGCACTGACCTGCCTCCTAAACCTATCTCAATGCCAGATTAACCAGGGGCATCTACCGCCAAGGAACATCCTACATTCCTAGCCTTTTTTTTTTTTTAACCATTATTTTAAATTTTGAGACAATCTTTAAGTTTCCCAGGCTGACCTTGAATTTGCAATCCTATCTCAGCCTTGCCAGTAGCAGGGATTACAGTACAGACATGTGTCACCACACCTAGCTCCTATTTAGGTTTTTGAAATATGCAACAAACATCAGATGTACCCATGTATGAAGCAAGAATGCCACAGAGAATCTAATATTCCCATGCCTTAGGCATGTAATAAATTTGCATTCCTTTTCTATTAAAAAAAAAAAAAAAACACCACAAATGGGATAGATCCCATGTTTGTTTAAAATATTTGGGTTTTTGTTTATTTTACACATATGAAAGCAAAACCAGGAAGGACACAGTATCAAAACTGATTCCCTGGGGAAGGAGCAGTTTTTTGTTTGCTTATTTGGGTTTTATTTTTTTGTATATGCTGAACTATATATCCTCAGCCTCACATGTAGTTTTTATTTTGTTTATACTCAATTCTTTTTTTTTTGAGACACATTGTCCTTGAACTCACTTTTGTAGCCCAGGCTGGCCTCATACTCGTGACAATCCTCCTGCCTCCGCCTCCTGAGTGCTGAAATCACAGGCATGCACCCCTATGCCTGTCTACCAGCCTTTTAAAATTTTTTTTTAATTAGGCAGGGTCTTGCTAAGTTCCCTAGGCTGGACTTGGAACTTGTGATCCTCCTGCCTCAACCTCTTAAGAGTGCTTGGATCTGAGGCACGTGCCACCACTTCTAACTTAATACAAAAATTTTTTAGCCCTTACCTTACTGTTAACTAAAACATGTTCACATGCCAACCAACATTCTACCCGGCTTTTCACAGCTGTGACATTTCATACCCTACCAACCCTGGTCCCCTTTAGGCAGGGAAGGCAAACACAGACTACCTGAAAGGGACTGTGGGGCTCATGAGCACTCAGACCAAGGCTGGGTGTAATGAGACCCTGTGCTGGGCCTACACAGACCGGGAGCGGGGCGATGGGCCCGACGGCCTCTGGGAGCTCTCACCTGGAGGTCAGCTCTGGCTGGTAGAGGCTGATGTCCTTGCAGCTAGAGCCACTCCAAGCACAGTAGGGGTCGCGGGCGAGGACGCAGTCCCCACAGCTCCGGTACAGGCTGCAGTTGGCCACGGGCACCTGGACTACACCCGAGTGGGATGCCGCATACAACAGTCCCTGCACAGCCGGACCCCAGAGATGAAAGGCGGGCATGGGCACCCAGGGCCACCACCCACAGCCACACCTGGCTCGCTCACCCGCTAAAGCTACCCCTAAGGGGACTATCATCTCCCTGGTACCCTAGCTTCCCGACGACCTATGCACCAGGGTGGATTCCATAATGTTGCACCTTGCTGGGGTGGGAGAGGGTAAACCAGGTAGGGACTGTCCAGTGCCGAGTTGAGCACCACCCCAAGCACATGGCCTTAGTTCCTTCCTTGCCCACTCACCCTGTGGCTGTCCAAGAGCAGGTTCTGCACGGGCTGTCCTGGCGAGAAGACCTGCAGCTCCTCAATGATGTGCATCCTGGGGCCGACACCCACCGCCTTGTGCAGCCGGCCATCACCTGGGGTAGGGACACATCTCAGGCCTTGCTTGCCATGGCCCACTGCCCGGTGACTGGTGCCCTGCACCTGCCAGCCATGCTCCTGCCCTGACCTGCTGGGCACAAGAGCTTACCAGTGCCCAGGAAGAGGACGTCATAGGTGCGGCCCAGTGCGGAGACACGGTGCACGGCCACTCGCTGGTAGCGGGCGCGCAGCTGCAGCAGCAACATCTGGCTGCGCACCTGGCCGTCCATCAGGAAGTGGTCCTTGAGAAAGTTCAGCACGCGGTCTGGGAGGTGCAGGGAGGAGTAGATCTTCCGCTCCCGGGCAGCGTTGGTGATGCACTGAGGAGAAAGACAGCAGCGTGAGCCAGAACGGACGGCCCTGTCTCCCCGGTGGGGAAATCACCAAGGGCAAGGCCAGGGTGTGGGGAGACCTCATTCACACCTGGGCCTCAGGCGCCATGCCCCTCTTCTTAGCCCCCAGCACCCTTCCTTCCACCCCAGCTCTGAGCAGGACCTAGCTGGAGAGGAAGGTGTCTCCTGGGGAGACACCTGGCTGCCGGCTGCCTGCTGCCTTCTGCCCATGAGGATTAACACACTGGGGGACCCCTGACCAGTGGCACATGTTGTCATCACCCCCTTGCTTGGTCCCTCTCCACTAGGCTGTGAGCTCCTTTAGTTAGCAGGTCAGGGTGACCAGAGCCTAGGCAACAGTCCTGTCTTCTTTCCTTCCAGCCCAGTGGGCTCACCCAGAAGCAGACCCTCTCAGAGGACCGACTCCTGCTGGCCGCCCTGAGCGGGGCCCATGGCTCACGCTGCCAAGAGGTAGTACTCAGGCACACGCCTTTCCTGCCATTCCCTTCCCTCTCACCCTGCTATTCCCTCACGCTGCTCCCAGGGTCCCCACCCGAGGGAACTATGAGCCCTCAGACCCTCTGAGGGTCTGCTTCTGGGGGAGCCCACTGGGCTGGAAGGAAAGAAGATAGGACTGTCGCCTAGGGTTCGGTCACCTATGACCTGCTAAGGAGCTCACAGCCAAGGGGAGGAGGAGGGGATCAAGCAAAGGGGCGTGACAACAAGTGCACACAGGGCCCTGATGGGAACTCATGCCCAGCCTGAGACGGGTAGGGCTGAAGACATCTCAACATCCCCGTCATATCTCAGTAAGCAGCGGCCTGGGCGTATCCCCGGTTTAAAGATAGGAGAACATCCAGAGAGGCTGTGTGATCTGTCCAGGCCCCCAGTCCTCCCAGCCACACCCTAAGTAGCAGGCACTGATACCCACCGACCCAGGCCGGGGTGTGGGCACCGGGTGGGTCACCGTATACCACTGCTGAGTCTCGCGGTTCACTTCCTTGTAGAGGCCGCTGAAGGCCCTCTGCACATCGTCCATGGTGAAGACGCACACGGCAGAGCCCTCGGTGGTACCCCCGTTCCTGCAACACAGACTTTCGATCAACCCCAGAGCCCCGGGCAGGCCCTGGCTGCCCTCTGCCCTCCTGTGCCTGGCCAGGCCCAGGCCCTACCACTGGGATGTGAAGACCCCGTAGAAAAGGGTTTGGCGCCAGTCCTGGGGGCTGGGGCTCAGCGTGAAGACATCCTGCAGCACGTTGAACGGGAAGCCATCATCAGGCCGTGAGCACAGCAGCTGGGCCTTGAGGAAGGACGTCCAGCGCTGCTGCAGCACCCGCTCACCACCCTCGTCGCCCTGGAGGAGGGAGATAGGCGGGCTGAGGCACAGGCACAGCTGGGGCTGCCCCACCATCCCCTCCCAGTATTCGCCGGACACCAAAAATGAAGGGGTAAGAGCCATGGCATAGGTCCATCTAAAGTCAAGAAAACTTCCAGGAAGGCCAAACTTGGTGGTACCCATCTGTAATCTGGCACCCCGAGAGGCTGAGGCAGGAAGATTGCAAGTTCGAGCCCAGCCTGGCTCAGTGGTCCCTTCTTATGGTCTTGGCGGGGTCATAACATTAGTAACAGTTCATGTTTAGGGGCCGGGCATATAGCTCAGTGGCACAAGCGGCTGCCTGGCAAGCGAAAGGTCCCGAGTTTGGACTCCTGGTACCAAAACAAACAAACAAAAAAGAGTTCATGTTTAACCAGGGACCCCCACACACCTCAGAGCTTCCCAGGGATGAATTTAAACACAAAGCAATTCTGAGGTTGGTGGTATTATTATTTCCATCTGACAGGAGGGAGCTATTCCACCCAGACGGTGAGGCCCCTGCCCAGCACCCCAGCATTCTGGGAGTCGACTCTGGCAGCAGGGTCTCCAGAGTCTCTGTCCTTAAGCCCACTGCTATGCCCCCTCTGGATCTTTTATGGGGGGCGGGGTACCAGGAATCAAACTCAGGACCTCATGCGTGCCAGGAAGGCACCCTGCCACTGAGCTAAGTCCCCAGCCCCCCACCTCTGTATCTTGTGAGTCATTTTTTTTGTTTTTTTCCAGTACCAGGAATCGAACTCACAACCTTGTGCTTGCCAGGCAGGTGCTGTGCCACTGAGCTAAATCCCCAGCCCCCTTGTGAGTCATTTCTGTGTGTACCTTTCTGTATCTTCACACTAAAGAACACCAGTAAGAGCTCTTTCGGTTTAAGAAGGGCATGAGACAGGCTGTTGGCCCAGCTGTTTCCCCGAGGCCTGAGCAAAATCTGAGGTCCTTTACCTGCGGATCCCACACACTCACCTTGCAGATACGGGCCACGCGGGACACGATGGTGTTCTCAAAGAACTCGAACTCCTGGCCGGTCTCGCTGAAGAAGAAGTAGATCTTGTCATCGTCACCGTGTGAGCTGCCCAGGCTCTCAGGGATGTAGGCCGAGGACACAAAGGCAGGATCTGTGGGGGCCAGATGGGAGCAGAGTCAGCAGAGGATCCCTGGGGCACGGCCCCTCCTGGGCACTGACTGCCTGCTGGGCAGGGTGAACTTCACCTTGCAGCCAGTTGAGGGAGCTCTCGGTCTTGGTGGGGCGCAGGCTCTGGCTGCGGGAAATGGCCGGGTCGTTCCCCTGGAAGCTGCTAACTGTTCCCGTGTAGAGCTCCCCATCTGCCAAGAAAACGTTCCCATGCGAATGGCCGCCTTGGCCAGGCCCCTTCTCCCCACTGGGGGCCCAGAGTGACCCGAACACCATCCATCCTGCCTGTAGTGGGCAGAGACGGAAGCAGGAACTTGGAAAACGTTAAACCCCAGGGTGGGCTACAGTCCCGCTGTCACCCTGGGAACCGGTACGGGGACCCGCCTGGCCCAGAGCTGGGCCCCCTCCTGCCCTGACACTCACCAACCACCAGGGCTGTGGACTTGAAATTGGGGTCAAAGGGACAACGGCCCTTGCCATCTTCCAGGAGGACATTCCCCGCCTGGTCCCGTGCCAGGGTGAAGTTCTCCACGCTCTGCAGGGGGACAGACAGGCGGGCTCAGGAGGGCCAGGGAAGGAGGAGGAGAGGGGGCAGCCAGTGGAGAGACCACCAGCAGGTACAGGGCACAGGAGAGGAGGGTGCAGGTGTCAGGCCGTAGCCCTCGCCTGGCACCAGCTTGGTGCTACCTGGTCTGGGATGGGCACTGTCACACACACCTCCCCCAACCCCACAGGATGTGAGAATCAAAAAGTGATTAAAACATCACAGGCCAAGCAGGGTATTTCCAACTCCAAAGCTGGGGACCCCCTCCCAGCCCCCAAGGCTGCCCTCTGCTAGAGAGGGCCAGGGGTGCGTGTTGACAGGCGTGTGCGAGGTGACAGCAGGTCTGAGCGAGGCAGGGGGTAGGGGGCAGGTCCAGGGTCGCAGGCCTCAGGGCTCTCCAAGGAAGCCCCCCCACCAGTGCCAGGATCGGCGCCCCGGGCAGAGGAGGGGCCGCAGGGCGCGGGCACTCACTATGTAGGTGCACAGAGGGCTGAAAGCCGCAGTGCCACAGGTGAACAGGTGGCTGCTGTTGAGTGGCAGCAGGATCTTGATGTAGTTCTGACAGTCGCGCTAGGGGGAGAAGGCACAGGATGAAGGCCCAGCCTTCCTCCCCAGGGCCAGGGCCAGGGCCACTGCGAAGGACACCCTGGACTGGGGCACGTGAGCGTGGGAACAGATGAGAGAACAGAAGCTTCCTGCAGAGGGGCGGGTGCCACGAGTGCACAGCAGGGGCCTTGGGCCGCCGTCCTTGGGTTGGCAGCGGTTCCTTCCATCCGGCACTCAAGGCCCTTCCAGAGGCTCAGTGGAGCCCCAAGGTCCCTCCTGACCAACTAGAGAGGAAGTCACAGCCCAAGGCAGGAGGAAACACCCAGCCTGAACCCCGGGACCCAGGCACACAGCACCTGGGACCACGTCTCTGCCCAGTGCTGACCACCCCCTAGCCTGCACCCAACAACTTTCCGGCCTCCTAAGGGCAGGGCAGCTCCATCCTCCCAGTGGCTGAGGCACTAGGCCTGGAGTTGCTCGAACCCCACAGTTTCCCACCCAGAACTCCTACTGGCTCCATCTTCAAACATGACCTTTTTCGTTTGGGCTTTTGAGGCAGGGTCTTGCTATGTGGTTCAGCCTGGCCTCAAACTCACAGCGCCCCTCCTGCCTCAAACACATCTGGAATCTGACCACTTCTCACTGCCACATCTGCAGCCCTTTTTTATTTTTTGAGGCAGGGTATCGCTTAAATTGCTCAGGCTAGGCTTAAACTTGTGATCTTCCTGCTTCAGCCTCCCAGAGTGCTAGGATTTCAGGTGTATACCACCATACCTGGCTTGGCTATTTTCTCTTTTCCACAATTGTATCTCCACTGCCTGAAGTAGAGAGGCATAAATAAGTGCTTAACTGATCCTGGGATATAGCTTGGTGGAAGCACCCCTGCCTAGTGTGGCCGAGGCCCTGGTTTGATCCCTAGTACCACAAAAAAAAAAAAAAAAAGTAGACCAAGTACTTAATAGAGGGTTTGCTGAATAAGGTACAGCTAGTCAGGGGTAACCAAGACTTGAACCTGTGTCCTGACCCCAAGTCTGGTGCCCTCAATGCCACCTGCTGCCTGTGGGACTAGGAAGCTTCTGACAACAGCAGGCCTCCCCCAGGGGAACCTTGGCTTGGGCCAGACCCTACCCAATAGTTCAGCCCCAACCAAACCAGCCTCTCTGTCAGACCTGCGACATTAGGGACCATCTGATGATACACAGCTCCCCACTCCCCCATCCCTGCTCAGGCTGGAAGCTGATGTGTACAGGGATTTATGTGGCTGGTGCCTTACACCTATGAGCTTGCTGTAGCCTGAGGAAGTCCGGTAACACAGGCATCCTTGTCCCCATCTTACAGGTGGGTACACTAGGGCTGGGCAAGGTCAATCAACTTGTCCACGCTCCTAGAGAGTCTACATCTGGGGCTAGAATTTGAACCCAGATGTGGCTGCTGTCTCAGAAGCCTGTGGCCTCTCCGCCAGCCCTGGCTGTGCCCACCCCCACCTCCTGCCTCTGCCAGGTACTCCGCCCGACACCCCCACCCCGCCCCCGTCAGCCCTGCCGCCCCACAGCTGGCTCACCTTTGGGTCCTTGCCCTTGAAGCTGCACTGCTGCTTCCTGTCTGCATCCGCAGGCCATAGCAGCTAGGGGAGAAGGGGTAAGTGTGTGGGAACCCAGGGGTCCTCAGGCCACCCTCCTCACCCACCCACATCCTGGAAGCCAGAAGGTCATGCCCCCTGCTGTCCTCCTACTGGCTGGGCCAGCGAAGCTGCTCACCTGCTGGTACTGCCCGCCTGGCAGGAAGCTGGCACTGCTATTGAGTGCGAAGAGGGTCTCCCGGGCACCCACATACAGGGTGCTGCCGTCCCTGCTCAGCAGAAGGGCGGTGTAGTTGGAGACGTTTTGGGCTTCAAACTTGAGGATTGGCCGCTCTTTGGAGCCTGCGGGAAGAAAGATGGGTGTGACCTGGGTCTCCCAGGTCAAACTTGTTGTACAGACCTCTAGAACTTAATGAAAGGTGGCCAGGTTACTGGAAGGCAACCAGCCAGGTGCTGGGAAGCCAGGGGCTAGCAATGGGGTGGGGGCCGGTGTGATAGGGAAACAGCATGCCTGGTCTCTCCAACATTATATAAAAAGCAATGGGCTGGGCTAGGCGTGGTGGCGCACACCTGTAACCCAGCACTTGGAAGGCAGAGATACAGGAGGATCACTATGAGTTAGGGGCCAGCCAAGCCTACACAGTGAGGTCAAGGCCAGCCTGGGCTACACAGCGAGAACCTGTCTCAAAAAAAGAGGCAATGGGCGGGCATGGTGGCCCATGCCTGTCATCCCTGCACTCAGGAGGCTGAAGCAAGAGGAGCACTTCCAGTTTGAAGCCAGCTTGGACTACTTGTAAAGGACAGCCTGAACTACATAGTGAGACACTGTCTGAAAAAAAAAGCAGCAATGCACAGAAATGTACGTAAAAGGACGTTAATTGTACCACCAGGCACATGAATGAAACAGTGGAAACTGCCTGAGTCGGATCCTAGGGTCAATGAAAATAAATGATACTCTGTTCTGTGGACTACTACACAGCTGGCAACAAGGACGCTGTATTAGAAACTAGTAAAACAAGGAGAAAGCGGTACAAGAAAGGTGTGGTCAGACTACAAAGCAAACTATAAAACCATGGATTCTGAGTACAAAACAGAAGACAGGAGAACATTTAACACTCTCCTTGAGTGTTAAATAACAGAAGACAGGAAAACACATTGAACACTCTCCTTGAGTGGCACTGAACCAAAGAGAAGGAAAAAAGCCGAGTGTGATAGCACATGCCTGTCATCCCAGGACTCAGGATGCTGAGGCAGGACGATCACCGTGAGTTCAAGGCCAGTCTGGACTACATAGTGAGCTCAAGGCCAGCCTGAACCGCATAGCGAGACCCTGTCTCAAAAAAAAAGAATTGCTGCCGAGAGAAGGGAATGCACACAGTCCACGCTGGGCCCTGCGGCCAAAGGTGGCTCACCCTAACAGAGTAGTGCAAACGGGCCCTGGTCTTCAACTCTGACTGCCAGCCCTGGGCTCTCCTGGGAGACTCGTGGTGACTGAACAGAACGCAAATGTTATCAGCCTTGGGTCACGGCACCGTGACGCAGTGCGCGATGGGGCAGGGACGTGGCCAGGGAAGAGTGCAGACTCTAATCTTCCCGGGGTGACGAGGGTCAGGCAAGAGGCACACAGTGGCTGGGGTGTATTGCAAGGCCCCGGGTTTGATCCTCAGTACTGAAAAAAATAAAGCAAAAAATGAGTATTCCAGACATTAAAAAAGAAATAGGGGCTGGGGATATAGCTCAGTGGCATAAGTGCCTGCCTGGCAAGTCCAAAGTCCTGAGCTCAATTCCTGGTACCAAAAAAAAACCAAAAAAAACAAAAAGAAGTAGAGCCACATGCTCTACTGGTGTGGTGCCACATGCCTGCAATCCAGGGTTTGAGAGGCTGAGGCAGGACGGTCACAAGTTAGAGGCCAGTGTGGGCAACTTAGCAAGACCCTGTCTCAAAATAAACAAACAAACAAAAAATGCTTAAAAAAGCGATTTGGTGGTGCTGGCAGCAGCGAGGACAGTGACAACAACAACAACGACCGTGGTGCCCTTTAAACACATTTGTGTTTAAACGCTACCTCTGCACTATGCCCCCAGCCTCAGTGTATCAGTAAATCCCAAGGAAAGTAAGAGAGGAAACAATCACTGGCAGAATACTGTGTGCTGGGAAGAGGTGGGAAGGGGCGAGGAAGCCGCATCTCTCTCAGCAGCCAGTCAGCAAGTCAGATGTGTAAGAAAGGCAACATGAGCTGGGCACGGTGGCTCATGCCTGTAAGCCCAGCACCTGGGAGGCTGAGGCAGGAAGATTGCTACAGATTTGAGGCCAGCCTGGCCTACATAGTAAGTTAAGTGGCAGCCTGAACTACATAGTGAGACCCTACCTTCAAAAAAACCACCAACAACAAAAAAGGTGGCACGAGCATTTTATTTCACAACATGGAAGAAATCACCAGACAGCACGAACATCGAGTGACTGTGAGTCGCCCCCTTAGCCAGGGAGAGACCACAACAGGTTGTGCTCTCTACGAGGAGCCTTTGCATGCTTTTCTAAGAAATTGTATGCATGTGCCTTTGATACAAAATTTAAGTATTCCTTGTTGGAGAATGAGAAGAAATACCAAGTATCTATCGCTATGTGAAAATAAAGGTTATAAAACAGTATATGGAGTCAGTTTTTTATTTTGTGCAAAAAAAACAGAAACACACAAAGAACCAGAAGACTGTATCACAAAATGCTGAAAAATGGGCCAGGAGTAATGGCACACCCTGTAGTCCCAAGAAAGGTGTGGTCAAAATACAAAGCATAGACATACCCTGGAGGCTGAGGCAGGAAAACCCCCCAAGTTCGAGAATAGCCTAGGTAACTAGAGAAAGGAAAAGAAAAACCTGAACAAAAACAAAAACACCCTGAAAAATTGGATCCCTGGTAGGATTACAGGTAATTACAAGCTATTTATTTCCCTTTTCCTTTATCATTTCTAGATTCTACAATGTGCAGATTGTATGTGTACAAAGTAAAAGACATAGAAGAAAGCACACCCACAGGGTATTCTATGCTCTGAATTACCAGTGTTTGGAGAGAAATTATTTTTAAAATGCTAAACAGCTCATAAGAACAGAAAAACAAGTGAAAGTAGCCCCCTGACTGCAGGGCTCGCCCTGGCTGACCGGTGGGTTGTGACCATGCAAACAGCCCCCGAAGCCAGGAAACAAGAGCAGTGACAGACACAAAGCAGTGGGGAGACAGCAGCACGTGGTCCAGATGTTGAGATTTTACACCTCTCGGCATGGTTCCAGAGGGAGAGAAAACGCAAAGGTAGTAAAATATGAACAGATGTAGTGGCACACACCTGTAATCCCAGCCGTTGAGAGGCTGAGACAGGAGGATCATTGTGAGTTCGAGGCCAGTCTGGGCTACAAAATGAGTTCAAGGCCAGCCTGAACTGCATAGTGAGACCCTGTCTCAAAAGACACACACAACCCCTACCCCCTGACATACACCCATATATTAAACTCAGCAGGGAGAGGATAAAACATCTGAAAAAGATGTCTAAATCACAAAGGATGTGATTTAGTCTAAATTACAGTCTAAATTACACTGCAGCTCGTAAGCTACTAGAGATTGGTGGCACCATTAGCACTGAGCCACCTGGTGACCGAAGAGAAAAGGGAATGAAGTTACTTTGTCTTCACCGTTGCTTACAGCAAGAGGCTGAGGAAGGTGCCAGCAGTGACCACCTCTGCCAGGGCAAAGGCTCTAACACATCCTGACACAATCCCCTCCACAAGCCAGTGTGTGTCTGCCCTTCTGGGCTCTGATCCTGGAAAGAGACACCATCCTAAGGAGACCTTCCTTAGTCACTGCAGGTTTCCACTGTGAAGGGGCTATGCTAAGCACACTGCAGGTGCAAACCTTAGCATTCACGAGCAGGGACTCTTTTATGCCCAGTTTCCAAATGGGGAAATCAAAGCTCAGAGAGGTGAAGCAACTTCTGCCGCGCCTTCCAGCAGAAAAGGAGTGGGAGTGGGAGGCTGACACAGGAAGTTTCCTCCCTGAAACCTCACCCACCCAGCATGGGATGCAGCGGTCACCTGTCCCTTGAGCTTCTGCCACTGCTGGTCTGGTTGGGGGTCTAAGAAGGAACAATTCCCCGGTTTGCAGGGGATTCTGGAGCAGACACCCAAGCATTGAGCAGGGCCTCGGCAGGGCAGACAGAGATCAACTTGGGGCTCACAGGAGTCTGAAGGGGCATCAGAGAGACCAAGACAAATCACTACCGAGCCCCCTTAGCTCCTGCTGCCCTGTATTTCCGGGACACGCAGGGCTGTAGCCGTCCAATGCCAGCACCCGGTTGCTGCGCCAGAGCGGGAGGCGCACCCACCCGGACGGGTCCTGCAACTCCCAGCGGGAGGCTACCCCTGGCACCGTCCAAACAGAAACGCCAAGAACCAGAGATAAGCTGAACTCCCAGGTGGCAGTGTCACCACACTCAGACCTGGCAGGTTGGTGCCAAGCTGCCCAGGGTCCTGCAAACAGAGCCCGGGTAGCCACACGTAGCCTCCAGCCGCACTGGGGGCACTGGGACAAATGACAGAAGGAGAGAAGTGGAATGTGGAGCAGTGGGCAAGGCGCCTCCGTGCCAAGCCTTCCTATTCCGGGGAGTTTGGCCTCAGCCCCTTCCCCAAGCCGCAGAGGATCGTTGTGAGTTCAAGGCCTGGGCTACAAAGTGAGCTCAAGGCCAGCCTGAACTGCATAAGGAGACCCTGTCTCAAAAAAGACAAAAAAAAAAAAATTAAAGCCATGAAGCACTGAGGACCTTGGCCATCAAGATCCCCTAGTACAGGGCCGTGGATATAGCTCAGCAGCACAAGCGCCTGCCTGACAAGCGCAAGGTCCTGAGTTCGATTCCCAGTACCAAAAAAACCCCAAAAAACCAAAAAAAAAAAACAACAGAAAAAACCAAAGATCCCCCAGTCCTTGGGGCTGGCATCCCCACAGGGCAACTCAACAAGGCAATGCAGCCCACAGCCCGCAGCCAGAGACTGGGGCTCCAATCCAGCCCCCACCACTCGCTTTTTGTTTTGTTTTTCTTTTTTTTTTGTTTTTCGAGACAGGGTCTTGCTATGTACCCAGGTTGGTCTTGAACTCCCTTGGTAGCGCAGACTGGCAGCGGCCTCAGCCTCTAGAGTGCTGGGATGACAGGTGCGTACCGCCCACGCCCAGCTTACTGGATGACTTCTGGAAGCCTCACTTTCCTTATCTGTAAGATGGGGACAATAATAGCAGCCTGCCTCACAGGGCTGTGATGAGAAGAAATGAGCGTGTGTGTGTGTAAATAATAATGTGTGTAATG